ATTCATCTTTCAACAAATTATAAACTACCACCTATTTATCCGAGTTCCGGAGTTAGACAATTTTCATGTGATTTATAATTGATAATTGTAAATTGTAACGTTCCCCATTTTTTTAACAAAAATAAATAAATAAATAAAAAAGAGCACAATCTGTAAAAGAGCATCCAATCCAACATTACTACCGAAAGTTCATGAACTTCTTAACAAAATCAAATACATACATTGGTCTTCCGACGACCGATTTTCAAAGCGGAAGCCAATCTCCGAAGTTGCCAATTCTTAAGCGTCACGGGTTGTTCTTCTTCCTCTTCCTCCTCCTTCTCTTCGTCCCCGTCCTCGTCTTCGTCTTCGTCTTCCTCTTCCATCTCAATAACCTCATCCTCCTCATCAATGTCGTAACCAGTCATATCAAACACCTCGGCAATTTGTTCGTCAAGCTTAGCGAGGTCTTCCTCGCTTATATCTTCGTCGTCGTCGTCACCGTCAAACAGAGATGGATCGTCCTTCTTAAGGTCTTCCTCAAGCTGCCTAAAGAGCGCCTCAAAAGCATCATCATCGATTTCTTCTTCCTCCTCTTCCAAACCTCCATTTCTACCCAACTTTTGCAGCTATTAAAGTTAAAAAGCGGAAAATTTTAACTAAATTAAAAAAATGAAATCAAATTAAAAAACAAAAGAAATAACTTTTCTATGAAACCTTGTTGTTCTTTCTCGGAGATGTGATTGCCGAGTTGCGGTTTCGACGGCGAGAGAAGACAAGCGTGGACGCAGACCGAGATGGAATTCGTTGAGGCGGCAGAACGAGATGGGCCGGTCGGCGGCCCAGAAGGACGGGTTCGCCGCCGGGACACGCGGCCCATTGGAGGCCGATGGAAGGAGCGTTAAGCGCTGAAGCTAAACCCATTTTTGCTTGAGAAGCGGTTCTTACTCTTTACTTTACTGACACGGAGACCGGAGAGAGTAATATTTTGTGTTCTTCGAACTACGAAGATAATAATTAGTCTGGTAAGGTTGTCTCTCTCTTGAAACGAAGCCGTTTACACCGCTTCGGCACAGCACTCTTTGAGTCTTGACTCTTCTGGATAAATATTCTAAACATGAAGAAGATTATGAAACTACGCCGTTTAGGTACTAACTAATATTTTCTTTTCCTGTATGACTACAAGCACCAGATCCCCCCTCTCTCTCTCTCTCTCTCTCTC